CCATAAGAAGGAACGTGGCGCCGACGCCTTCCTTTAGGAGGAGAAGAGTTGTTGCTTCCTCTACTCCTGCCCCTAGTCCAGCTTCTATGCCCGCTCTTCCCTTGGCTCCTCCCTGTATTGAGGACAAGGAAGCTTCTGCGTACGATGAGGACCTGAGGCCCAGGAAGCGAAAGACCGTAGATAGGGGAGACGGCATACCGCTGGCGATCAATCTATCATGAACCTTTCCTGAGGCTGTGGGTCAAGGCACCGTGGTGATGCTAGCGGAGGGAGATATAAAGGCGGCCTCAGAGGTGCCTAGTGTTACATCCGATACTTTTGTACATTGGATTTTTTGTAAGTTAATTGACATAGGTTCAAGGACAAGACTATTATTGAGGTTATAAGTATTTGTGCTATTTATAACAAGTGATAAGTATGTGTCGTGAAGGTCAGAGGGTAAATGAGTTTCGTTGAAGTTTGATATTTTGGGATAAAATACGGTCCAAGCTATAATACCCTGTATTTATGGATTAGTGTTATACAATATACCGCATGACAATGACAGTAAAGTATATTCTAGTATTAAAAGTGATTAGTATTTAAGTGAAATGAGATTTAGAAATTAATCATGTGTTTAATTAATTATATGAAGAATTAGTTAAAGTGTTTGGATAATGTTAAGAAGACAACATGTCCTTGTAGGTCCCACAAGGGGGATGACCTTTGTTATTATTAGTAAAGGATAAATATTTCTAGTAGTAGAACCAGATAAAGATTAGATAGAATAAAGGGGTGGGTACGTGTACAAATTAGGTGAATTTATGGAATGGGTGTCTAATTTTAGTAGGTGACTAGTGTAAGTATATACCCATGTGTCTTTATCTAAATAATCTACACATGAAAGCATCATATATCGATAATATAGGCAATAAAATTACATGAAAGACATCAACTTACTTAGATAATACGAGGCAACAATATACTCCCATTGTGGAAACAATTCAATTGAAAATAATTCCATCGTTGGTGGCAACAATATTGATCATGTTGGGAGCAATTCTTTGGGGGAATCAGGCATTGGCAGCAGGTATATTTCCATAATTGTGTAGCAACTTTACTTCCTAAATTCATCTTAAGAACACCAAAGATATTTCTAGTGTTTGTTGATTCCTATAAGCTCGGGGTAGAGCGGGCCGGTTCCAGATTATATAAGGTCAACACACTAATCAAGCTGCGGAATAGGGTTGCTACAAAGCTTAACGAGGTATGTTAAGGCTAATCCCTTCTTTTGGGATGACCCAATTAATGAAACGTAAACATAATGTTATTCCATAAATAATTCTACTCTTAGTAGATAAAGATGCCTACGTTATTCATTCATGTAAAATGTAACTCAAAGCATGTCTAAGTATGTTCCTAAGTCTCTATTGAGGCATACAATAAAGATGTTAATATTCATAATATAGTGTTATATGCATCTTCATTTACCACCGAGCTACGGCCGGTTGAGCAGTCATGCATCTTCGTATACCACCGAGTTACGGCCGGTTGGGCAGTCATGCATTTTCATGTACTATCGAGCTACAGCCGGTTGGACAGTTATGCATCTTCATTTACCACTGAGCTATGGCCGGTCGGGCAGTCATGTATTTAGCATCGTTCTACGGCTGATCGGGTAGTCATGCATTTACCACCGTGTTACGGCCGATCGGGCAGTCATGCATTTACCATTGTGCTACGGCCAGTCGGGTAGTTACCTCTAATCAATTGCGCAGTTAACATCATATAATGATGTGTGTGTGTGTGTATATATATATATATATATATATATATATATATATATATATAAAACTTATTATGCATGTTATGGCCCTCATCGGGGGCTCATAAGTTACATGACTGATTCTTATCCCTCTTAGTGATAGTGTCTAGGGCTGCTTATCTGGCGGATTGGGCGGTTATTTACTCTTAACGGTTTGGCTTATCGGTTATCGGCTTTTAAACGTATTAATCCGCTAGCCACCCGATAAGATATCGGGCGGATTGGTATCGGTTTACTCTTATCGGACGGTTATCGGGCGGTTTATCGACCTAATTCAATCTATATTCCACAAGTGGTAGCACTACTGCACTAACGGCGAAAGAAATGCATGTCATCCAAATTAATCTCTAAACCGTTCGAATGCTTCAAGACAAATTGACTTTCTCCAGATTTGAGCTAAACAATGCGACTTATCAACTTTATTTTCTCAAGATTTATTTTGGTAAATGATACAGAAAATTCTAAATCTAGCAGCTCCTTAATGGCAACATTGAGCAGCCTAAAACGGTAATATGAAGATGACAACAAAAACATAAGTTCTACTTTCTTATGTCATTCATTTGAATTATGTTACATATTTTTCATAATTCTGATTATTTAGGAATTAGGCGTTAGAACTAAGAGATAGAGTACTGGAAGAGTGCAAAAATGAAGTGGAAGGGTTTTTGATATTAAATATATTTATGGATAACAATAAATTATATATACATATATATTCTTAACGGGTTAACGGATTATCCGTTAAGAAAATTAAATAATCCGCCCCCAAACTAATAAGCCGTTAATGAAAAAATTTTAATCTGTTCCCCGTCCGTTAAATCGTTAATCCGATACCAATAAGCCATTAAGCTTCGGTTTCTGTTCGGTTTTGAACACCCCTAATAGTGTCTTATTGTTTGTAGATAGACGAGGTGAGGATCCTCCACTGTAGGCTGCCTCCAGATATCAACTTTTGGTTGGTGAGATCCATTTCTTCCTGGAGTATTGCTGAGTTAGGGTTTTGTATATGATATTTTGGTTTATGGGAACGTCGGGGGCCCTGTCCCGACTTATATACTATATTTATGTTTCCATAGAGGCTTTGCAGACAATATCTTGTGTATAGTTTTAGTTATGACATGTCGGTCTATCATGACGGCCTTCTCGGCCCCCATGTATCTACATAAATCCTTTTTGAATTAGTTATCCGAGTTAAATTCTAATGTCATTACTTTTATACACACACACACACACACACACACATAGATATGGCCTATAATGGCCCGTGACAAGTATGATAGTAAACAAGGATAAGGTACATGACGCTCGGTTGAGTAGTCACCAGGAGCTAGTCGTGGCCCTCCGGTTTGAATCGTGACACCTAGCTTGGCTGAACTTGACGTCGCTGCTTCCCCTCGACCTGAATTGGATGAAGCAGTTGAGAATGTAGCTGATGACGCTCATACTCATCCCAGGTCTGGGGAGGCCTCGTCTTCTAGGCCAGTTCAAGAAGATTCTATACTGACAAAGGGAAAGACTAGATGCCCGGCGAACAGGACGATGAGTGGGTGGAGTCTGTTCACAGCGAATCTGACTCCGACCTCAATCCTGAAGATCTTGAGATGATCTATAGCGGGACGACTCAGATTGAGGTTAGAGTAGAGGGGGGATCGAGGACCATCACGATCCCGGTGAGTCACGATTTACTCAAGAACACTAAGGACGTGATCCACACTTTGGCCCCTTCTACACTAATACCCAGCACAAGATTCTTGGGGAGCTAAGTGATAGTATCCTTTCTAAGAGCACCGCTGGCCTTGCTCTCAGGGTAAACCATTTCCTTATTCTTTTTCTCTCTTTGATTTGCTTTTGAGTTTTATCTTGTTTACCCTTTTTTATCGTGCAGGCTGTTATATTGGAACTTCAAAGTGTGCGGAGAGAGAAAAGGCGAAAGGAGATTTATCAAAAATTACGATCAAAGTATGAGGAGCAACGAGGGCCGTATAAGGCGGCCGAGAAGCGGCTTCGTGACGAGGGCGATGTGTCTGCCCTTAGGGAGGAGCTGAGAAAAAGAGGTGAAGAATTGCTCGCGTCTGTGGAGCGATTCTCTCAAGGGGGCATTGAAGAGAAATGAGGAGGAACTCAAGCCGAGCAAGGGCGTGGAGGCCAGTGCCGCGACCTTCAGAGCCAGGTTGATCAACTGCAAAGTCAGTTGGATGGGTGTCAGTTCGAAATGAACGTGCTCAGGGGAGAGGTCGCCGAAAAACTACAGCTACTCGAGGAGGCGGATTCCTTCCGAATGGAGACTCGAGAATAGGCTATTTTTTAGATTTAGAGAACAGAACTCTTCGCGCTGAACGGGACAACGTCTAGTCGACGGCTGAAGCTAAGGAGGCCAGGCTCGAGGAGAGGATTGGCGAATTGGAGAAAGAGAACTCCGAGCTACTTGAGCGGATTTCTGCTGTGGAGGGCGAGAATGCCAAACTTCTTGAACGACCCTCTACTTCTCATGCCTCTGAGTTTCCTGCCATTCCTCGAGAGCAGTACGAGGAATTGGGTCAGATGGACTTCGTCTTTGAGACGGACCCAGAGGAAGCCCGAGTTAAAGCTCGTGAGGTTCGGTTAATTAATTTAAAAAAGCACTTTTGAGCTATAATTAGTTAGACTCGGATTTTAAAAAGTGCTTTTAAGAATATTTTTTAAAATACTTTTAAAGAAAGTGCTTTTGGGAATAAATTATTTTTTTCTGCTATTCAAAAAATGGTTTCCGCTTCTACTCAAAAGTAAAAAAAATAATTTAAAAGCTTGGCCAAATACCTTAAATTTTTTTTATAAAAAAAAAAAAGAAGCACTTTTGGCCCAATTTCTTTTTTGGGCCAAAATCTTAGCCAAACAGTCTATTTATACTAGAATTAGTATGATGAGGTTAGTTATCCTGGTATTATTTCTTATTGACTTTTTGATATGTTGTAGTAATCCTAGGATTGTCAATTTTACTGCTTTATCCCGGAATAACTTATCATGGGATTACTATTTCATTCTTTGGCAAATAACAAATTATCCTATACTAGATTTTCATCCTAAAATTATTTTTGCTTATCCATCCTACCCCTTCAACTCTCAAAAGAGCTTCTCTTTTTGTTTCTCCAACTTCTTTTTTTCACTACTTCTCCAACTAACCACTTATGTAAAAGAATTGTCCAACGAGTCAATAAGGCCCCACGTGTCCTAAGGCGCCTCCATTATTGAATGGATTGCTCTTTGAAGATTCATACCATCATCACATCACGCTTCTTCACTCTCTTCTGTACTTTCTCACTGTTTCTTCTTTCAGTGGGCCTCTTTTACTTCTCTCTATCTTCTTCCTCATGCCCAATCTGATCATTATCTTCTTTACCCGTCTCTTTCCATCCCCTTTGAATTTAATTGTATTTTAGGTAAGACCCCTTTTTAAATTTTCCTTAATTTTTTTCAACTTTATTGTTAGATTTGTCATTATGTTATTATCACAAATCTTTTCAAGATTTTCACCACCAACCTAATAAAGTATTTGGTACTATAATGTATCAATCTTTTCTCACTTTTAGTCCTTTTTCTTATCAAAGATTGCAACTTTACAACTTTTTTTTGTGTCTCCAGAAAGAGGGGCTTGCAGTAAAAAGATGATACACGACTTTTTGTACTTATTGTGAGAATTATATGCAACTTTAGTTTTTTTTCTTCTTTTGTTTCATTTTTATAATATGTCAATCTTGATGATTAAAGTTTTGATCTTTAGCAGTTTCCAATAGATCCATAAAATGACAATTTTTTCCCTTAAAAAAAATAACTGTATGAAAGCAGTATGGATAATGCATATGTAAAGCAACAGTAGAAAACACAGCACATGAACTTGTAACTGCATATTTCTTACTTCAATTTCTTCAATTTGCTTTTTTTTTTTCACAGGTTATGATATGTATATTGTGTGAAATCTTGTGGTAGCTTTGTAGATTGATGGGTGAATCCATTGTGCAAACTCCTGTTGTCAAGCACAAGGTACCAATTTTTCTGTTCTTTGATCACTTAGAAGTGGTCTATTTTTATAATTTTTGTTTCAAATAATGTGTCTTTGAGTATGCTCTATTTGTTGATAACTATTGATTCAGTTATCCTGGAAGAGGAGCCTTTGTGTAACTAGTAAAGTTGCCTCCATGTGACTAGGAGGTCACGGTTCGAGCCGTGGAAATAGCCTCTTGCAGAAATGCAGGATAAGGCTGCCTACAATGGTCCGGCCCTTCCTCGGACCCCGTGCATAGTGGGAGCTTAGTGCACCGGGTTGTCCTTTATTGATTCAATTATCCTCTTAGATCTTCTTTTAAGCCCTAGTTAGTTGTCATTGTTATTCTTGTTTGAGTTTATTGATAAAGAATGGATTTGTGTTATAATGAGCAGATGGGTGAGTCAGCTGTATCTGGTCCTAGACTTGAAGTATCAGTTTCTTTTGGAAGGTTTGAGAATGATGCACTTTCTTGGGAGAAATGGTCATCTTTCTCCCCTAATAAGTATCTTGAAGAAGTTGAAAAGTGTTCGACACCTGGATCAGTAGCTCAGAAGAAGGCGTATTTCGAAGCACATTACAAGAAGATTGCCGCTAAGAAGTTGGAGCAATTAGAGGAGGAAACACAACAAGTAGAAAAGGAAATGGAACCTCAGGTTTCTGATGGTGATTTCAGTTTATCCAATGGTGAGCAGCAAATGTCAGCGAAAGATTTGAAGACTAGTGATGAAGTTGATGAGCCAAAGGAGGATACTACTGTTGATGTGGAGCGTGATAACTTATTAGTTGACAATGCTAAGGAACTAACTATCTCAGGAATTGATGAGTCAAAGGAGGATTTTTCTGTTGATGTAGAGTGTGATAGCTCATTGGTCACTGAAGTTAAAGAAGGAACTATTTCGGGAATCGATGAGTTAAAGGATGATATTTCCGTTGATGTGGAGTGCGATTGCTTATTGGTTACTAAAGCTAAGGAAGAAACTATCTTGGGAACATGTGATCACGAAGAACTTCATAAGGTTGAAGAACGGAATCCTGATAAAGGATGTCAAGATAGTGTAGTAGAGACTCCACAAGCGGATACTCAAGCTCAAAAATCCTCTATTAAGAAAAGCAAGACCCCTAGCGCAAACGTAAAGAATGCGCCTCGTAAGGTGATATGTTGGAACTTTTCTGGCTATTGGTACTTCGAGTTATCTTATTGAGCCGAATTCCTATTTTCCTGTTCTTTCTTTTATCTCTTTCCTGTTATTTATGGAAGTGTTGCTTGTTCATTTTCAGGTACACACTGAGGATCGGGTATCCGCTAGAACAAAGAAGAAACTGACATCACCTGTGACAAAATCCTCATCAAGAATTTCCACTCCAACATCTAAGCAAGCATCAACTTCTAAGGTCATTACTCCATCTCAACCATCAGTGAAGAAGGTGAGTGGAACGCCAACTCAAAGAAGTAATAATACTCCTTTGGCACAACGCAAGAAAGTTGTTCCTGGGTCAGTTGCATCGTCGCCTTCTCAATCGTCAAACAAAAAGTTGAATGGTGCAACGCCTTCTCAATCCTCGAACAAAAAGTTGAACGGTGCAACAATGCAAAGGAGTAAACATTCTCCTGTACTAGAGAACAAGAGAGTAGCTCCGACATCATTACACATGTCTCTGAGTTTGAGTTCCCCAAATTCTACAGCTTCTAATACTACAATGAGAAAATCTTTAATCATGGAGAAGATGGGGGACAAAGATATTGTAAAGCGAGCATTTAGGGCTTTCCAGAACAGTTTTAACCAAGGAAGATCTACCGGAGATATGACATATGGTGGACAAGAACAGGTTCAACATTCAAACATTTTTTTTTTCATGTAGAATGCCTTAATGTTTCACGAGTATTTAGCTGTTGGTTTCCATTTGTTTGGTTAGGTGTTGTCAAAGGAATCTGAGCAGAAAATTTCAACTTCTCTGACTCCTCAGAAGGAGAGTGAAAGGTAATTCAATTGCTTCTTTGACTAGCTTGTATGGGTAACACATACTGGTTTCTTTCGACTGCCTACCTACAAATTGTTTAGCATAATTATTCTATGTATAAGAGTCTTATGCAAATTAACTGAGTGGCCTCAGAATTTTTCTTTAGGCAAATTGACATATGTATCAGGCTTCAATTTTATCTTAAAAAGGGTTTTCCACTTCTTTTCTGGAGGGATCCTGGGGGAGGGACGCAGTTATACCGCAATTGGGGTTTCCTGTGCCAAACGAATGACGCGGCACACTCCTTACCATAAAATGAACGATGAAGAAGACCTGTTTTTGGTGGCCCTGAGACTGAAGATTGTGTTTCTGTACAAGTTTCGTATTCAGTGATTGATTAGATTAGCTGAATTGCTACAAAAGTGATGTAGGAGGAAATGTGTTAGTGTTTGCATTTCATATATATTTTGTTCTTTCCTTCATCTGTGCTTTTCTTCACTAAAACTCGCGATTTAATTGTGTTTTGCGCTTAAAGCCCAAGCTGGCACTTGTTCGTTTTTACTCGCCTCTGATAACACTGCTATGACAACATCTCCATTTGGAAAAACTTAGCTGGAGGCAAGAATTTATGAATCTCATTTTATTCTATTTTTTCGAGATGATAAGTGTACCTTGATGTGATCAGTGTTTCTGTTGCCAGTCAATAAGGGAAATTAGATCTCATACATGCAAATAACTATGTTATCCAATGACAGATTAAGGAAGATGCCGAATAAGGAAATCACTCTAAAAGGCCAATCAGGGGCTCGTTCGACTTATTTGTCATCAGGGTAAGATCTCAGAGATTGTTTCGGGATCCTTCCCATTATAGTCAATGCTTTCTGTTATTTCTTGAATTTTAAAGGGAGCTGCCGGATTTTTTTCCTCCTTATATTATTGCAGCAGTGGATTGTTGAATTTTCTTTCTTTTTCCTTTTTAACCATTTGAAACATTCATCAGTACTGCCCCCTGCCCCTTAGGGGAGGGATTATGCTTTCTGAAATTCAAGCCGTCCGTTGAACCGTACTCAATGAGGGGTCACTGGGACCTTCTTTATCTTATTTATTCTTAAAAACTTACATCTACTCCTCTTCATCCCCTCCCACCAAACAAACAGAGAGTAGTTCAAATAAGGTTGTAGATGGAGTCATCATTCTGTTTAGAGGGATCTACCTTCTCGACCAAATTTTCATGTAGATTGTTTCCTTCCTTTGCATCTCTTTAGCTTATTATTGTGTATTACGTTTTCCCTTCTAAAATGGTCCTGGGGCGGTATTGTGAAATTGCTAAGGTGACTGCAGGAGTAAGTCTGTAGAGAAGAATTTTCATCAGTTATTATTCAAGTATGCTTTCATAATCCTGTGGTACTTGTGAATTGGAAGTTGTTGAATGAGAACTTCATTTAGCATTCCCCTTTGGATCCTGCTCTACAAACCCTTCAATTAATAAATCTTGGTAACTCTCCCAGTAACTTTCCAAACACACTTCTGTAAAACTTCTAGCCCTAGGTAGAGAGAATTAAACACATACATTCGCATAGTTACTATGCCTCAAATACGTTCAATCCCACTAATCAGTTTTAGAGTTGCAATACATTTGAAGCAGGGCACCTAAAGATGGTGGCATGGAGAAGAAAAAGGTGAATTCTATCAGAGCGTCTACGGGCTCGAGAACTGATAGATCAGCTGATAAATGGAAAGAGGTATTACAAAATCTGGCCCCCGTGTTTTTAGTTCTAATTTCTGTAATCTAATATAGTTGACCTACTTTCAACTTTTATCTCTTGTCTCGGTTTTGCTTTACCCTTTTCCCTTAAAACATAAAGTTCTGCGTCTCAAGTACTCAAAGAGATATGCAGCAGCCTTCCTTCATATTGTCGAATAAATTTAGCATTGACGTGATTTCTTTGGAACAAACTATTCATTTTCTTTCTTTATGAGTTACTCCTCTATTTCCATTTTATGTAGTACACTTTCCTTTTTAGTCTGACCCAAAAAACAATGGCGCATTTATATATTTAAAAGCAATTTGACTTTAACTATCTTCGTTACCTTTAATGAGATGATTTATAGCCAAATATTTGTGGCTTCTTTTAGACCACAAATTTCAAAAGTCTTTCTTTCTTAAACTCTGCACAGTCAAATACCTTACAAAAATTATACAAATTTTATATATTTTTTAGACTATCGAATGTAAATAGTTTCTGGCATGGACTAAAAGTGATAATACCCTTTTTATTTTTAGTTGAATTTTTAAAAAAAAGTAGATACAAATCTAATGGGTAACTCAAAACTGAGTGCTACAAAAGTTTTACCAAGAAAGAAGTCTCATCTGCCCAACAATATTTAATACAGAGAAACAATCTTTAAAAGAAATCAGCGAAAACTTCTAAAGAAATCTCCTAAAATGGGACAGAGAGAGTATTTTTTACTTTCAGTATTAGAATATGTCAAATCATCTTTCTTATGGTTTCCATCAGTGAAATCTTTCCTATATCTTGACTTGTGAAATGGGATTACTTAATTGTGATAAAGGAAAGCATATACTGAAATATAAACAAAGTTACAAACAAATGAAAAAGAAAGTATATACTGAATTATCTGATGGAAACAGCCTCTCTACCCCATCGGGGTAGAAGTAAGGTCTCTGTACACACTACCCTCCCCAGACCCACTTGTGGGATTTTACTGGGTCGTTGTTGTTGTATTCGCATTGAAATGATTAAAAATCCGGTTTTCATGTCAATTTTGGTCTTTCAAAATATGACATGCAAACCGCTAAAGTACTTGAAGTTTGAAAGAAATCTGCAAGCTAGTAAAAGCATTTTTGTTATCCAAATGACATCAGTTAGCCAACTAGAACTGTTTAGCAAATCTCACCTCCAATGCTATTTGTTTTAAGCAACAAAACCTGCATGAAATCTCCCAGCCAACAGTTTGGTGTTAGAGAGTGCTTAACCTTCACTATTCGAATTTTGAAGTATTAATTTCGTTGAGCGTTCGAATATGCAGGAGGTTACTAAAGCGAAGATCAAACGACCTGGATCAAATAGGTGAAATATGGAAGTACACGTATCCAAATGAGTGAAAACATGAATTTCGGTATTACCATGATGGTATTTTGTTGAGGAAATGGACCACTGAACGAGTCATGCAGGCAAGATTTCGGGAACTGCTTTTCAAGAACTTCTTATGCAAGAAGAGCCAGTCATCTCTTGAAACTGCTGGCTCAGTCGCCTATTCTCGTATCGATCTGGTGTATTAACACTATGCTGAACTCTTGACAATATCCTCTTGTTCTCTTTGGCAGTTAAAGTCACCGTCTAATCAGGTCATTTAGGTTTTATTTTCTTATATTATATAGCATTAGATCTGGTCTTCCTTATGTGTAAAAATGTATAAGCAGAAAGTGATCTCTATGATTGAAGATTCCATTGTAGTATCAAAGTTATTGTATGATAGGGAAAAATCTGGTCCATGTCCAAAGTTGATTTTATATGGTATTAAAGTAGTGTAAACATTTGGATTCAATGCTTTGTTTCATGTGAGCTAAGCTTGAAAATATAGCACATCTTTTTCATGTGGGTTTACGACAGGGGTGGAGCAACAGTTCTACTTGCGGGTTCTCTAGGTTTAGCTTTAGATTCTGTATTTGTATTAAAAATAATAATTATATATTTTGTATATATATATATATATATATATATATATGAAAATTATATAAAATTTATATATTTTTTAAGCTACCGAATGTAAATAGTTTCTGACGTGGGCTAAAAGTCATAACACCCTCTAAATGAGAAAATCTCACTTAATACCCATTAATTCCAAACTATTTATCCTTTAATGCCCATGCCTAAACTATTTACTACTCCTACCCATGGCCCCCAAACTATTTACCCGCCTATTTACCCTTTAATCGCGGAGGCGCGTGTCAGCTTCATAAGCGAGAGAGTTGACGGCGTCTTCCCTTTGGTGGTGAGGCTGCAATTCATTGAGCAGCTTTGTCACATTGCTGGCTCCAAATATTTTGTGAACATTTGCAAATTTTCGGGGTTGATCTGGTGGGAAGTAAGGAGCAAACACGCATTCTGGCTGGCATTTTCGACGTAGGAATTTACATGCTGCACTGAAGATGAAGAAGATGAAGCCATTAACAAGTATTATAGCTAGTTTGCACAAACACTTCTCTTCTTGAAGATTTATTGTTTGATTCGATGTGGTGCTATAAAATATTGCTTATAGTATCTTCGAGTAAGCTTCCCAGATCTAAATTTTTATGTGTATTTGAATATCCACCATTGTTGGGCTTGGAAGCTCAATTTTATTTTTGAAGATTTCTTGTTTGATTCAAAGTGGGTGCTGTTAAATATTGCTTATAGTACCTTCTGGAAGTTCATACTGAAATTTGATAGCGTTTGGAGTTGATTTGAGGTGATTGAGACGAAATTTTCAGTTGAAAATCGAAGAAGAACACAGCTACAATATACCGCTACGATATACAATATGCTGTAGGAGTATATAGCTATACTGCAACACTATACTATTATAGTTTACAAAACAGTATACCGCTACAGTATACTAATATACTATAGGAGTATATAGTTATACTACAACAGTATACTACTATAGTATACAATATATTGTTATGGTATACTGTAATAATATGCAAGATACTGTCAATATGTTGTAATAGCATACAATATACTATAATAGTATATTTATTACCCGTAAATTCACTTGTCTTTTCCTTTTTAATTTGTTTTAAGCTTTTACCCAACGTGAGGGGTAAATTGAAAATGCGAAAAAAAAAATATATAGTATGCTATATGATGTAACGGTATACTCTTACAATTAGATCCTTTTAGAATTTTTAAATTTTTTTTTTGACAACTAATATTATTTTAGTTTAATAATTGAATTAAATTTTTTTTAACTCTTTGCGTACAATTGTATACCATATTGGTATAGCTATATACTATACCGGTATCATATGTTAGTTAGTATTATTTTGGTTGTATTAACTACATTTAATTGGTGCACAATTTAATTTTTCTTTAGTAATAATATTAAAAAAAGAATAATAAAAAATAGTGAAAATACTAAATGAAATTAGATTATGAAGAGAAAAAGAATATAAAAAAACAGAAGCTAAATGAAATTAGAAAAGGAAAAAAGGAAAAAATAAGAAGAAAACGAGAAAAAAAGGAGAAAAGAAAAAAGAAAAGAAAAAGGGAAAGAAAAGAAGCATAAAAATAAAAAAGAATTGGAGAATAAAGAAAAAATTCTCCACAAAACCTACTATGGGTAGGAAATGTAATTAGTTTATGGGTAGGAAAATAAATGGGTAGACAAGGTAAATAGTTTTGTTTTTGTGGGTAACTATGTCAAAAAACCCTTTATTTTTGGTTGAACTTTTTTTAAAAAGTGGATACAAATTCAATGTGCAATGCAAAATTGAGTGCCACATTAAAATTTTACCAAGAAAGAAGTCTCATCTGCTCAACAATCTATTATATATAATAAAGCTGGGAAAATAAAAGATGATGTGGCATATTTCTTTGGTCAAGGATCACATTTATCTTTTTTCTTAGATTTTATACCTTTTTCTTTATTTTTGCATTTAAATTTTGTTAACAATTAAGCATTTATTTCTTTCATTATTAATATACTATTAATAAAATGGTTGTTATAGTTTCAACCTTTCATATTCCGTATTTTGGACCGTTACAATCTTTCATTATAATCCATATTTATAAAGAATAAATAATTCTTACAGTTGCAATGGCTCTATCTGCAAGTTTCTTCCCTTATCCTCTAGCCATTCATATTACTTCTTCAATTCTCGCTTTCATTAAGAATCTATTGAGTTAAGCTTTTGTATTGGCAATTTTCCAAAGAACCTATACTTATTTTTATTTTGGTAATTACTATATTTTTTACTATTTTACAATTGATATTCTTGAAAAGAAAATTAACTAATTCAACTTAGATCCCGATATATGTCCTAGCAGAAAGCACCAACAATAATTGTTAAAATAAGATTATGAGAATGATATGGCAATAAATTAATTATACTACTAAGCATTAGTTGTGTTGCAAGATATATAAAGTCGAATAAAATGACTTCAAATTCGATCAGTTGCTCAAGTTTAACGAGAAATTTTGTGAGGTTGGACATGTCTTTTGAAAAGCATAAGAAATGCATATTACGTACAAGTGTATTATATGATTATGAAGATTTTGTGCTAGATATTATACATTAAAATCTAAAAATTGAGATTTAAATATTTGAGAAGGAACAATCAACCTTGAAAAATTATTTATTTTAAAGCTTATCGGAAAATATACAAACAATAAAGTTGGTCAAAGAATACCACCTCGGCATCACCAATTGGAGGTCGTAGAGACATGCAACCATATAAACTTGTGTATATTTAACTTTTTATAAACTTTTATATATATATATATATATATATATATATATATTCTAAACCATAAGCTATGTGGGTCCAAGACTAGACACAATGTTCATGTAGTTGAGCGCATGGNATATATATATATATAATATCATTCTTGCATTGGGGTTTAATATTTTTAGAAATTTAGGTGATATGAAATACACATAATTAAAATATGACTTTAATAATATTTTTTATCACTGCACGAAGCGCGAATAAATTCACTAGTATTTAATACATAGAAACAATCTTTAAAAGAAATCAGCGAGAACTTCTAAAGAGATCTCCTAAATGAAGAAAAGACCACAAAGGCACATTAGCAGTAGTAATTTGGCCAAAAAGAACATCTCTTTCCATTCACAAAACAAAAGGTGCATCTCAGGCAAAGCATCATGCAATCATGCTAGATAGGGGTGTACAAAGGAAACCGACAAACCGCACCAACCCGATAATCCGAGTCAAACCAAGAAAAAAACCCGACTATGGTTTGGTTTGATTTGGTTTGGTGTTGGAAAAAAAAACCCGACCATAATTGAAATTGTTTGGTTTTAACTAAAGAAAGTCAAACCGAAACCAAACCAACCCGGCATTACATATATAGAAAATTTAAATATATTTAATATATAAATATACTTATTGTGATGTAATTTATAAATATTTCTTAAAATTTTCCATACTTTTATCTTTTAAGGTATTATTTCAAGGTTGGACTTAGAACTTTTGAATGTTCCAATACATTTTATAGCCATTAATATTAGTAAATTAAATAATGCTAACAAAAGCCCAAATCAAAATCAAATCAATACTAATGCTAACAAAAGACATTCAATTCAATACTACGAACGAGAATGTATTGAATATCTATTTTTTGTTTTGCAATAATTTAGATAAAAATGCATAACCTATTTTTATTTTTTCTTTAGCGTTTAGTCATGTAATTAATATTCCCTTATTAGTCTACTTATTTTAGCATGACTTAGTACTTTTAGATTATGTTTATTTTTATTATGGAATTTTAATTAGCAATATTTATATTATATAATTTTATTGTTTTTATTGTTGAATATTTTAGGATAATGCCATGACACATCATTATTTTCTTGGAAAATACTTTATAAGTTGTATCTTACTAGGATTAAAGAAATATTTTGAGCATACGTTATAGTGTTTTGTTCTACGAAGATTTTACCGGAAAAAACCCGAAAAACCCGAAAACCCGAGAAAACCCGAGATTGAAAAATCCGAGTTTTATTGGTTTGGTTTGGTCTTTAGATTTAAAAACCCGACACAATTGGTTTGGTTTGGTAATTGTAAAATCCGAACCAACCCGGCCTATGTACACCCCTAATGCTAGATCACAAAAAAGGGACCACACTCCAAAGGGCGTGGTGTAAACAGTCTATCCTTTATCCTTAACTCATAACGTATAGACAATTTTACCATTACCCAAGGCTCTTCTTCCATTGAGAAAACAATGGTGGACAATTGCAACTTTACACAGCTTTCTGATATGAGAACGTTTCTCGGCCTCAATACACACAAATTCTAGCTTCAATAAAGCAGGCGAGAGAAGCCAAAGAATCCACAAGTAACTTGTAGTACTACGTTTATTACATCTTTTCTTCCCTGACTTCAATTAACTTGAATTTCGATACTATGAATAGCTGTATGTAACTTGGAATTTAAGGACAACAAAGATCATAGCATAAATAATACTCCCTCCGTTCCAGTTTATGTGAACCTATTTCCTTTTTGGTCCATTCCAAAAAAAATGATCCCTTTCTAAATTTGAAAACAATTTAACTTGAATTACCAATTTTAGTCTTAGTGAAAAGCTTTTATAACCATACAAATACTGTGGACTCCTTTTTGAGTTGTTTAGGACCACAAATTTCAAAAGTCTTCATTTTTTCTTAAATTCCGTGCTCAGTCAAACAGGTTCACATAAATTGAAACAGAGGGAGTACTACTTACTAACATTGATCTCGAAAAAAATAGAAAAAACAGCCAAAATAATATCTACATCTAAAGCAGGGGAAGGATAAAGCATGTGCCAGAAACATGTTCTGTCAAACTACAATATTAAGAAGGAAACATAATAAACCTAAGAAACTGAAACTGAAACTGAAACTGAAACTGACCAGACTTCCTTTGTACAACAGTTAAATCTAGAATAGGTAGTGCCAGAATAACTACGATATAAATTTTTAGAGTCCAGAGTAAAGCTGGCATGAAGACTAATAAGCAGCTCTCAGTTGTCCAGGTTTGGAGAACAATACATGGCGCTCTACACTTAAAACTATACTAATACGGCCTGATCATCCCTTCCTGGGTTTCTTTCTTCAGATGGAATCAATTCATGTTGTAATGCTTCAGATGGAAGCAATTCATTGTTCCTTAATGGTTCAGACGGAAGCAATTCATTGTTCTGCTCTGGTTCAGATGGAAGCTCATTGTTCTGTTCTGGTATAGACACAAGCAACTCAATTTTCTGTTCTGGCTCAGACATAAGCAATTCGCTGTTCTGTTCTGGTTCAGACGGAAGCAATTCATTGTTGCGTTCTGGTTCAGACATAAGGAAGTCGTTCTGTTCCGGTTCAGACGGAAGCAATTCATTGTTGCGTTCTGGTTCAGACATAAGCAAGTCGTTGTTCTGTTCCGGTTCAGATGGAAGCAAGTCATTCTTCTGTTCTGGTTCAGACATAAGCAACTCATTGTTCTGTTCTGGTTCAGAGGGAAGCAATTCCTTGTATGGTTCAGATACAAGGAATTCATTGTTCTGTTCGGATTCAGAGGGAAGCAATTCATTGTTCTGTTCTGGACTTCCTTTTGTCACATCAAAAGCTAATTGTATTGATCGCCATGCTTTGTGGTAACTAATGTTCAGCCCAAATCTCTTTCTCATTTCTTCCTTCACAAAATTTGGTGTCATCTCTGTTTCATATTCAGGTAGAAGCTCACGGATATAACCGGATATGACCCTTGATGTTGCGTGCCGTTGTTGGTCAGGCTGAAGCACATCAGCAGAGCAACTATGGTCTTCTACATACTTCGAAATCTTGAATAATGCAGAATCACGGACCCGTGAAGCATGCAAATACCAACTGCAATTGTCATCATAACACTTCAGGTAATACCTTTTTTTGGTCGATCTGACGGTCTTGAATTTGAAGTGGTATTTAATTGCACTATTTGTGAAACATTTCTTCAAACTTTCTTTGTTCTCAAAGAGCGATCCCACAGCTATTTCATCCAATGAAGCATTTCCTCCCAAAACCACTGTTGGCCAATCGTTTCTTTTACTCCTCGACCTTTTTCTTTTTTTTATTACTTTTCTGGGTAGGGACCTTTTTCTTAGTTTCATACCATGCGTTGATTGTTCCGTGTCCACAGATTTGTCTTTTGCCAGAGATTCAAACTCCGTTATTGGCTCAACCGGTATCAATGCCTCATCTCTGTCAATCTGCATTTCCTCGTGTTGTACAATATTGACTTCTTCAGTTTTTGAATACCTTGCTGACAAAGAGTTCCTTTCCGCCATATCAACAATGAAACGGGAAGTCTTGAAATTTGGATCATTTTTCAGCAAGTAGATGCAAGTAGTAACTTCCTCGTCGTTTGTCACTAGCATCCCTTTGCTTGTTTCTAGATTCGTGTCAAACCAAATAGTTGGTTGAACCTCACCCCTTTTCAGTTTTAGGACCTGAAAAATCTTTTCGACAAGATCTTCAAACGTTATTCCATCATTCACAAGAATTAATTTGATCTCATGATACAAATACTTGTTATCTGTAGTCCATTTTCCATTGTAAGCAATATAGATGCAAACCCTATCCATCCTGCATCAATTGAAACAAAGGCATTAGACATACATCTAAAGAATATGAATTATTCGGTGGCAAATTTGGCCGAGTGGGAACAAATTATCAATGCAGATATTCAAATCAGTATTATCTTTAGACCAGTGGTCTAAACTTTGAAAAACAAAAAAAATAAAGGCAGATATTCATATCAATAGGAACATAAATGCTCTGTGATCTTTGCAGTTTGCACGCCTTCAATGCTTATTGAAAGATAATAGAGAACATAGTGTGTGACAAAGAAGTGAAGAAAGTAAGAAAGGCAGACAAGTTTATCCTAGTGGGCTAAAGTTTCTGGAAAAGAAATTACGAAAGCATATATTAAAATCGGCAGTAACATTAGGTAGGATCTTTTTATTGATGAGAAAAAATTGTCAGGCATTAATTTTGTCGCAAGAGCATTGCAATGGATTCTTACTTCAGGTCCTGAGTTTGACCTTTTGGGTCTGTGCCTCACTGTTTACTTCAGATCATCAGCTACAAAGAAAGACGTGGACATGATGAACTTGCTGGTCTTATTTTCAACAAATTTTGTGCTAGAATTGAGGCATTTTTGCTGTTCTGCCTAATAAGTGGTAACAATTCAGATGTGGTTCAATAATTAGTACTCTACAAAGAAACTAGAAATGATTCTTAAGTAGTAATAACTTAGTTAAAATTGTTTTGTGATAACAACCCGGCCAATCGTTCTGTGTATTTGAGCTCCGATCCCCTATATGATGTTTCCGCCTGTGTGTTTGTGGTTTTGTGACTTGCGGGGTGGTGGGTTTGGCTTCAGGAAGGTTTGAGAGTGAATCGAACACTTAGTCTCATTTTGGAAGCTTAAATTGTAAGAGTTGACCAAGGTTTGACTTTTGAGTAGATGACCTCGGATTGGTATTTTGATGAGCCCAATAGGTTTGTATGATGATTTTGGACTTAGGCATGTGTTTCGAATGGATTTGGAGGTTCCTAGGGTGATTCGGCTCTATTTGCCGAAAGTTGGTAATTTATAGGTTTGGAGAGTTCATAGGTTTGGCCGGGGATTGACTTCGATGATATCGGAATCCGATTGTTGTTTTGGAACTCGGTATAGGTTTGTTATGTTATTTGGATCTTGTGTGCAAAATTTCGTTGGAATCTGGTTTGGTTAGGCTGGTTAGGCTTGAATTGGACACTTGGTTGCAAGTTGGAAGTTCATGAACTTAAGAAAAGGATTTTGATTGTTGATTCTTGGTTTTGATGTAGTTCACGGCGTTTCGAGTCCTTGAACAAGTTTGGATTAGGTATTAGAATTTGTTGGCATGATTGGACGGGTCCCGGGGGCTCGGGTGTGATTTCGGGTGGTTCAGACCATTTCCCCTCTTTTTACAACTGCTGGTTTTCCGGTGCAGGTTGCTTGCTTCTTCACGATTGCTGAGGGGGGCTCGCAATCGCGGAATGAGGGAGGCCGGCAGATGGTTTGTTCTTCGAGTTCGCGACTCGAGGAACACGTTCGCGTGGTGGTATGGGGGCAGGAAGAGGCGTATATATGATTTTATGAGAATGGGTGCACTACTCGTTTATTTGATTCTCTAAAATTTTGCCATGACAATAGCTTGACAAGTGAGCTACAATCAATATTATTATTACAAAAACATATCATTCCATTGATAAATATCCATGAATAGTTTTCCTAACTTGGAGAACAATATCATACCATCATTATTTATAGTTACAATACTTAGCTTTATATAGTAAAACTAAACGACTATTCAAAAAGAGAATGAAAAAGAAGAAAGAGGAAACTTGAAATTGAAAAAATTAAACTAAGACTTTGCTTCTTAAGAGTTCTAAACTTAGATATTGAATCAAAAAAGAATGAGTAAAAAAGAATGGGGTGGAAAAAAAAACAGAAAAACAAAAATTTAATCAAAAGATAGGTAAAAGATCAAACCAAAAAGAGAAGAACAAAGGGGAAAAATAAACGGAAACGAAAGAAAGGGCATAGAATTAAAATTGAAACCAAAAAAAAAAAAAGATCAGGTATACAAAACTACAAAAAAAAAAAATTAGAAAAATGGCTTTCATAATTGAAAGATAGGGCGTGGATTCGATCCCTAGACCTAGAGGGCAAAGGGACGGTATGGAGTGGTGCATGGGTTCACGTGCCCCAAACCCCTACACACATGGATCCGCCCCTAGGGCAGGTGATCCGCCTTCGCGTGCTTGAGGTCTCGTTCGCGGATTGCCTTTGCGTTCGCGGGCGAAGGACCCCGTTTGCATAGGCACAGCTGGGCGGACGTCGCGTTCGCGAGAAAGAACAGCAGCTTGGGGGGGTTGGCCTTCCGGATAGCGAAAGGTGTATCGCGATCGTGATGCACGTCACTGGGCAGAAAATTTAAGTTGTTATTTCCGGACATTTACCCACATTTTCATATTTTGAACTCTAGACTTTGAGAGTGGGAGATTTTGAAGAGCAAATTCACTACACCGCCGGAGGAAATCAATTTTCACTTGGATTTAGCATACATCTTAATTCCCCGTCGATTTCTACGCCTAAAACATAGATTGTTAAAAGCAAGATTTGAGGTTTTTGTCTACAACTTAAGGGTGTATTTTGGACATTTGAAGGACGATTTGGACTCGGTTTTGGAGTCTAATTACATATTTGGACTCGTAGGGTTATGGATAGTCGGGATCTACCCCTTGACTCGGATTTTGACTATGTGGGCCCGGATTTGACTTTTGTTGACTTTTGGGAATTTGTTTAAAAAATTCAAATTTTATTGTTTAGAATTGCTTCCTATGGATTTGTTGTATTTGACTAGATTCGACTTGTTCGGAGGTTGATTTGAGAGAGAAGACTATTTTGAAAGGTTGAAGACTACCGGGTGTAGGTAAGACTCTTGGCTAACCTTGTTAAGAGGGAAACCTCTAGGATTTGATTCGATTGCTATGTGTTTAAGATATTGGGGATAGTGTATATATGGGGTGGCGAGCTGCACTTACCAAGTTTACATCATGACCGGGATAGAATTGGGATACTTTATGCCTTGTTTTGATTATGTGCTCATTTTGATTCATGATTTGATTGGCTTAGATGACAATGCTCGCTCTGTTATTCATGTTAGAGATCATGCCTAAGTTTATGATTATTTATGAAAGCATGGGAACTTATTCTTGATGTGTTGAATTGCTTGAATCATTCGAGTGCCATAGAAATTACATGGTCACATATCCGTATGATTTTTTCACGTTTACGAGATAAAATACCTATTAATTTAATAGCTCAGTATTAGCTAGTAACTATTTAAAAATAATTAGTTATCATGTTATTGTATGGTGAATTATATGTCGCTTTATTAAGTTGTTGAAACTTAAAAATAAATGATGCTAGAGAATCATATTTAAATTGTGAATTATGTTTTTATATAAATTCTCTTTTAAATAAAAAGCATATTAAAGTATTTTATTTTTATAAAAAAATCAAATTATAATGCCAAAATTCTTTCAAGATTCAATACTCCTTAAGAGATACGTATAAGATTTCATATCGAATACATTACTTTTAATGTTTGAGTTGTAACGACGTTACAACTAATTTGCATATAATGATATATGTCGTACTTTTCATATTATTCATAGTTGAATTATAATTCATAAATATTTTAAATAGATTGTTTTTGTGGTTTTAATGTAATTTTTATATTTATTTTTTATTCTATACTATCTTAAAATCCTTAAAATTTATAAAATTTAAAGATCCATGGGACTTACGCCCCATATCTCAGGGCTTACGCCTCGCCTCGTCAAAGGTAAAACGCCTCGCCTCGCCTCACACCCCTGCCTTTCAAAACAGTGTATCTATCTACGCCCTCTGTTATGTGAGCCTGTTTGACCGGGCACAGAGTTAAAGAAAAAACGAAGATTTTTGGAATTTGTGGTCCTAGACAAGTCAAAAAGGGGCCCAGAGTATTTGTGTGGTTATAAAAACTTCTCATTAAGGGTAGAATTGTAAGTTTAAGCTAAATTGTTACCAAATTTAGAAATTGATCATTCTTTTTGGAACGGACCAAAAAGGATATCACACCTCCTTTTTCCCGACCAGGGCATAAGGGAGTTTTTTCGATTTAAGTGACATTAATCAAAATGGGATTATTTTGTTCAATTTAAAAGGGAATAATTTCATGGCGTCCCAAGTCACCGGTTTATTTTAAATCACAACTCGAGAAAGTTTGACTCCATTTAAAGTATGCGAAACCAGAAGACCGGGTAAGGAATTCTGTTAACCCGGGAGAAGTGTTAGGCATTGCCAGGTTCTGTGATTTTAGCATGGTCGCTTTAATCATACCTGGCTTAATTATATTGTTTAATTACGTGCTTTAGAACCTATGTGCATTTTTATCATTTACCGCTTTTAATTATGGCGTTTATGGTTTTAATCTTTGAAACGGACTACAAGTGTTATTTGGGGACGCTAAAATCATGTCACTCGTACATGTACACAATTAGTCACACTTTATTAATTTTAAGATTGTTTGGCTGAAGTTGCGCGAACGCATACCTCGATTAATTTTGAAAATTGTAACTATGTCACGCGAACGTGTACACAATCACGAAAATAAGTTAAAACGCGCCTAAAAGCATTTCTACGAGTGTTCATTTTTTAAATCATACTCGTGTCACGCAAACGTGTACACAATTAATAACACTTCAATATTATTAAGATTATTTGCCAAAGTTGCACGAACACATACTTTGCCTTTAGCTTGAAATATCATAATTATGTCAAGCGAACGCGTACGTAATCATGATAATTGATCTTAATAATACGCGCCTAAAGCAAACTGCGATGTTAATAAGAATTATTTTCCTAAGGTTTGAGATTGTTTGTGAAAGTCTAAAGTTATGGAATTTACTGTGAAAAGAACAAGGTGGATTAATTATGGAAAGATGAGCTAGTTTATGAATTTTATCATTATGGGTCTCGCAGAATTTCATTATTTTATCCTAATAACTTCTTAAAACCCATACATCATATACAATAATGTCCAGAGAACAACTTGATTCTTTCTGTTGCTAAATTACCAAGCAACATCGAATAGAACCCAACACTTAAAGTCCAAAATTACTTTTAAAGTTGCTATTAGTACCATTCCATTAGACAATCTTTCCTATTTGCTTTTCATTAAACCAAACTTAAATCTAATGGCCAACTCAAATACATTACTGCTTCAATGAAACTCAAACTGTGGCGGTCATGTTTTCAATTTCAAAACTTGATGACACTTGAAATCATATACACAATTAACATGTCTAAGCACTAAAAAAACAAATAACAGAGTAAACAAAACTAACAAAAGAGAGAAAAGAAATCACAGTTTGAACGCCACTTTTTCCACTTTAAAATGTCCATTTCAGAATGTTATCTCACAAACTAAATAGAAAGAACGGAGAAAACTTTAAGTCCCAATGCTTTACCAATTTGTTTTAAGGCCAACTATAGATATGTAGCTCCATAATATTTTTTTACTCAGGTAAAACGCACCAGACATTCAGCAACAAGTTTGAAGCGATTCAACTTAAATCTTCAGATTTAAACATTTAACAAAGAAATTAAATGAAGAAGATCTAGTAGCCAATCACAATGAATACACCAAAATTAGACATGGATTCAGCAAACTATTTAGGCCTTCATTCATATACAGTTGAGAATTACAGAGGAAATTATTAACATACCTAACAGCAGGAACAAAAAGGCGGCAGAATAAGACCAGTAAAGGTTAAAGCTCCTAAGCACAGCTACAGCGGCATGAAAATAACCGAAATACAGCAGCTCTTCAACTCGGACCAGCTTCGAAGTCTCAGAAATTATGCAGCAGCAGAATGAAATCCAAAACCAGCTTTAAATCTTCCTTTTCATCGTTTTCTTTTCTTTCTTTTTTTTGATTTTTCGCAGTTCTTTTTTTTTAGATCTGAAATTCGGTATTTTGAAATCCGGATGTTTCTGTCTGTGAAGGTGAGAGAAGAATGAAGAAGGAGAGGGGGAAGGTCTGTTTGGAGAGGATGGTGGGGCGGCTGGCTCTAATTAGTTTTTTCGCCGGTTTACGGCGAAGCTCACCGGCGACGGAGGTTTCACGGCTGGTTTTGGCCAGCTTTCATGGTGATTGACGAAGAAGATGAAAGCAGAAAGGGGAGGGTCCGGCGGCGGCTTTTTGGGTGTATTAGAAAGGGGAGGGTCTTCGATGGAGAAGATGAAGATCAGAGAAGAAGCGGCGGCCCCAGCTAGGGTTTTTGAAGGGAGGGGATCTGATATTTTTAAGGGAAAGGGGGCTTCAGTTGCAAACCGTCGGATCAAAATGATCCTACGGCTGTGATTAACAATTAACAAAACGGTGACGTTTTGAGTGAAGGGAGGGGCTGGACCGGATTTTGGTCTGGGCTGGGGCAGGTATTGAAGAAATTGGGCCATTGTAATCTTTGGCCCAATTTTGAACCAGACTAAACCAACTCTTTAATTCCTTTTCTCTTTTTATTTTTTTTATTTTAAAATCTAATTAACTTAATTAAAGTCCTAAATTAATCTAATTTGTAAATTAAACTAATTATCTATTTGTACTATTTACATAATTAGTCAATCTTAAATCAACAAAAGAAAATTACTAATTTTAACACTAAGAGCTAAAAAAAATAAAAATGAACAATTTTTGTGATTTTTCTTTTAATAATACAATCAAACTATGAAATTGGATGCTAAATGCAATTAAGACCTACCAATGCTATATAATGAAGATTTAGACATTTTTTGTTATTTTTTATGATTTTAAAATGCTAAAAATGCATGAAAGTATGTAACTAAATACAAATAATTACCAAATATTCTTAAAAAATCTTAAAAACAAATAAGAAAATCTATTTATTGATTTTGTGGGAGTATTTTTGGTAAGGCAAAAATTTCATGCTCACAAAGGAAATAGGTTCACGTAAACTGGAACAAATGGGCTAAGTGGGCCGGGACCGGCAGGACCGCTAGATGTGGGCTTGGGCCGGGACCGGCAGGACCGCTAGATGTGGGCTTGGACCGGTCTCGTGGGCCGATTCTTGCCTAAGAACCGTTAGGATCGGGCCCATTTGACCCGCCAAGGGACCGGGACCGGATCGGGACCGGACTAGTCCCTTGGCGGGTCAAACGGGCCCAACGGTAATTTTTAAAATAAAATAAAAAAACTAGTCGTTTGTCTATTTAGAATGAGAGCTGTTTGACTTTAAAAAATAGTCGTTGGCTATTTAGAAAATAATTATTTAAACCCCC